TAGCTGGTGGTGCTGCTTGGTAGCTGCTGCTTGGTAGCTGCTGCTGCTGCTGCTTGGTAGCTGGTGGTGCTGCTTGGTAGCTGCTGCTTGGTAGCTGCTGCTGCTGCTGCTGCTGCTGCTGCTGCTGCTTGGTAGCTGGTGGTGCTGCTTGGTAGCTGGTGGTGCTGCTTGGTAGCTGCTGCTTGGTAGCTGCTGCTTGGTAGCTGCTGCTTGGTAGCTGCTGCTGCTGCTGCTGCTTGGTAGCTGCTGTTGCTGCTGCTGCTTGGTAGCTTCTGTTGCTGGTGCTGCTGCTTGGTAGCTGCTGTTGCTGCTGCTGCTTGGTAGTTGTAGCTGCTGCTGCTGCTGTTGATGCTGCTGCTGCTTGGTAGCTGCTGCTGATGCTGCTGCTGCTTGGTAGCTGCTGCTGCTGCTACTGCTGCTGCTGCTGCTGCTGCCTTTGCTGCCTTTGCTGCTGCTGCTGCTGCTGGCTTTGCTGCTGCTTTGCTGCTGCTTTGCTGCTGCTGCTGCTTTGCTGCTGCTGCTTTGCTGCTGCTTTGCTGCTGCTTTGCTGCTGCTGCTGCTGCTGCTTTGCTGCTGCTGCTGCTGCTTGGCTGTTGCTGCTTGGCTGCTGCTGCTGCTTGGCTGCTGTTGCTTGGCTGCTGCTGCTGCTGCTTGGCTGCTGGTGCTGCTGCTTGGCTGCTGCTTGGCTGCTGCTTGGCTGCTGCTGCTGCTGCTTCTGCTGCTGCTGCTGCTGCTTGGCTGCTGCTGCTGCTGCGGCTGCTTGGCTGCTGCTGCTGCTGCCGCTGCTGCTTGGTAGCTGCTCCTGCTGCTGCTGCTGCTTGGTAGCTGCTCCTGCTGCTGCTGCTGCTGCTGCTGCTTGGTAGCTGCTCCTGCTGCTGCTGCTGCTGGGTAGCTGGTGCTGCTGCTTGCTAGCTACTCCTGCTGCTGCTTCTGCTGCTGCTTGGTAGCTTCTGCTCGCTGCCGCTGCCGCTGTTGGTTACAGTTATTGTTGTTGTGGCTGTTGCTGCTGCTGCTGCTGCAGCGGTTGCTGGGGTGGTTGTGTGTTGCCATGTGTTGGCTGTGTTGGGGTCGTATTGGGGGGGCGCTGTTGGCACTCTCCTTTTCCCTTGGCCATGGCATGTTGCGATTCCCGGCCTGGCTTTTGCTGCCTAAAGAGCCCCAGCGTGGTTTATTTGCCTAGCTTTCGCCACCCCCCTCTGGGCCACAAGTAAGATTCCGGCGCTCTATGTAGCATATGTTGCGGCATTCTATCTGGCAGTCTGGCATGTGTCCTGGCACTCTACGTGGCAAATTTGTCGGCGCTCTATTTGGCACACTCTGGCATTCTATCTGGCATGTTTTCTGTCAAATATATATATATATATATATTTGCGGCATTCTTTCTATCTGCTTCAGGTCCGGTGGTGGCCACTGAGATCGACCGCTCGCGGTTGAGGTCCGGCGGCGCCCACTGCGATCTAAAGCGCTCACGGTCCAGCGGTGCCCCACAGCGATCGAGCAGTCGCAGTTGAGGTCCGGTGGCCCCCTACTGCACTACATATTATAACGTGCAGTTCCCACTGTAATCTAGCGCTCGCGATTTGGGCCCGGTGGCGCCCACTGCGATCGAGCACTCACGGTTGAGGCCCGGTGCCCATTGCGATCTAGCGCTTGCGGTTGAGGCCCAGTGGTGCCCACTGCGAGCTGGCGCTCGCGGTTGAAGCCCGCCTCTTGGAGCACACCACCAAGAGCACCACCAACACCCTAGACCGCCACAATCACCACCAAGACAACCAAGACCACCGCCTAGACCGCCACAATCACCACCAACACCGCCACAATCGCCACCAAGACCACTGGGGCCACCAAGACGACCAAGACCACTTAGACCACGGAGACCACCAAGACCGAACCACCAAGACCACCAAGGCCACCGGGACCACCAAGAGCACCACCAACACCGCCGCAATCACAACCAAGACCACTGGGACCACCAAGACCACCAAGGCCACCGGCACCCCCAAGACCAACAAGAGTAGACCGCCACAATCACCACCAAGACCACCAAGAGCACCTCCAACATTCCACATATTACTGTACAGTAATAGATTGTAATGGATAGTGCTTTTGAGAATAGATAGTGTAATTGATCTCAGTACCAAATAAATTCCGCCGCGAATATGCAATTAAGCTGACCGTATGTTTAAGTCGTATATTGATTCCGCGTGTTTTAAAAACAGCCGGGCTGGCAAAAACCTTGCCGGAGGTAGTCTAGAATACCTGTTCATTTGTGTAAAAATCGTATTTTTAAAAAGCGACGCCGTAGGTATTAAGTAATAGACCTAAAGAGACCAGAACAGCAACGCAAAAAACATGTTGCTTGTGGGATAATGAGCACCCTCATTTTCTGTTCATGGAAAATGGCCCTGGCGTTGAATCCCCCGAAGTCAGGTAGAGGCTAAGAAAAACAAAACCAAAAAAACAACACTGAAATAGAATAACTTTTCATGGCTCTACGTCCTAACTGGCCCTGGTTCCCCAACGACATACTCAAATGAGGCCCACAATAGCACCCACCACGGTAATTGAATTGAATTTTGAGTCACGTTGTCCTTTTTATGCGCGTTCAAGAAGCACTTTCGCGAATGTGATGTCATTTTGTATAGTTGCAAAATGGAAAGCAAAGGCAATCGGCGTCGAGCGTCAGCAAAACGATGTTTTTCAAAGTTTGGTTCCGCAACCCGTTTCGGCATTTTTTGCATGCGTGTTGTTTCTGTTTCGCGGGTCGTATTGTTTTTGCGAGTTGTAACTGTTTGCTATTTTTTGCATTTTTGTATTTTGTATATTATTTGTATTTTTGTATTGTCTTTGTTTGGTCTTTTTATGTGGTTTGTATGTGTTTGTATTTTTTTGTGGGTCGCAGTTTTCTATGTTTTTGTAATGTTTTTGGGCGGCTGTCTTGTTTTGAAAAGTAAAAAGAAGAGGTCGTGATTTGTTTCGTATTTAAAAGACATACAAATGTTCAGCCTGGAACTGCGAACCGGCAAAACCCACCGGCAAATTTTGTGACAACCAGCGAAACGCCAAAAGTCAAGCGAGCCAGCTTCCCATCCCACCCATGTCAATGCGTATCAAGTGGCAATTTCCTTGAATATTGCTTGCAGATTCACCTTTTTGGTTTAAAGGTTACATGATTGAAAAAATTCAAAAATCAAAAGCGCATTTACAATACAAAAGTGGAATGTGTATTTTACAGTTGTGTCTTTCTGTATGTTCCCCGCACTTTTAACTATTATACCGGGGAACCAACCCTAACGAAAATCTAAAAAACTTTCATCGTTTCAATGAACGCCCCACCAGGACTTTAAGAGCGAACTAGTCGACAGGGTGGCCCGAAAGCACAGTAGGAGATGACACAAGGTAACGAAGACGACGATGGTGATGATGACGATGATGATGATGATGATGACAATATTGATGAGGATCACAAGGCTAGGGCGCTAACGCCAAGATAAAGAACACGGCGCGCCGTGACTAGAGACAACAATGTATCACCAAGCCTCGTTGAAGCCGTCAATCATGCGCTCCCCAGCCCACGCCACGTTTACGCGCGCATGGCTTTCGTTTCCCCATGGCGCGGAGCCGCGCAAACACACTTTCAACCAAGGCCGCGCAAAACTGCACGGCACAGGGCGCAGAGACATTTCGCGATATATACAACAGTGTAACACCAAACACCCTTGACACCGCCAGGTCACGGCGGAGATGCGAAGCGAGCTCCGTGAATTGTTCGACGTGCACCTTCCCAGCCAAGGGCTCACAGCGGCCAACTTCGCACTTCACCGCACCTCACGTTTGAGCGCTTGACATGCAAAATCTCCGCAAATGGCTCTGACAAAGTTCACGTTTCACCTCACGTCTGCAATGGCAAAGGGCTCTGACAAAATTCACATTTCACCTCACGTTTGAGCACTTGACACGCACGATCTTTGCAAAGAGTCATCATCCCAGGTGCAAGACGACTTATAATCCGGCATTCTATTTTAGAAGAAATGTTTTGAATATTTCAATCAGAAGGTGCAATTTTGCTGGTTTCCACGCAAGGTTTCAACTAGAAGAAAATACATGGCGCAGGAGGTCCTTTGTTGATGTTTTTTGATGCTTTTTGGGCACTCTGAACTCCAATATTTTCTATTTGAACGGTCTTGCCAGAGAAGCAGGATTCCATGATATCTACAGTGAATTCTAGAAGTTTTGGATGATCTTGTCCAAAATTTAGCCGGGACACGCGGTGCAAGTTAAACCCAAAAATCAGAGGACCTAGTGCACCATCCAAGATTTCCAGAATCCTGGTACAAAACGGTAAAAAAAACTCGAGTTTTTTTAGTTGTTTTTTCCAGAAGGTCAGATCCACAAGACAGCAGAACAACAAGTGAAGATCAAATAGAAGATACTGCCAAAGCAACCAAGCACATCAAATAGAAGAAATGTATATGTGTTTATTTTGTCGTTAAAAACAGGTCTGGCAATACCTTCTATTTGAAACTGAGTGCAAAGCAGCCTTTTCCTACCCCATGACTCCATCTTCAGAGCTTTGCTCTGAATCATGCCTGCACCAAGCAAACCTTCCCAGTCGGGAACGACTATAGATCTATCTATCGAAATGTCTATCTATTACAGTAGATCTATTTATCAAAGCTTGCATATTTCCAAGAGATGCCATCTGCAGTGAAGATACAACGGACCGGGGAGGAAGAAAACAATCCGCATGGACCAAAATATAGAAGATCCAAAACAAGCATTTCAAACAGAAGATGTACCTCACCGGACAGATTTCAAACAGAAAATATTAGATATTGGGCTATTTAGTGGTCTTTGCAAAAGTAGCTATTTATCATGTTATAACACCTCTTTTACGCTCCGGCGAAGCCCTTTTCTTCTATTTGAAATTATTTTTGGCGCGCGCCGAAAGCAATTTCAAATAGAATATGGAAATTCTGAATATTCGGGAATTTATTCTATCCTTGAGGTTTGGATTATACATATTACCACCGTTTCGCGCATCCGGCGCGCATGATGACGATTGTGATGATGGCTGTGATGGTTGGACAGTTGCAGTTAGCAGGCGTTCTTTACGGAGATCCCTTCGCAGATGTTTTCGGGAACCAGGTACGACATATAAGTTCATGAACCATATCAAGAAAAGATAAGACAAAATAATATAACGTCAAGATATGACACGACCATAAGATTCAAAATTGTCTACAGGAAATTGACGAAATATCTAATTTTAAACTAATGAACAGTGGCTCGAACCTGGGTCGCCCTGAATTCAAGGCGCAAATCCATTGGTTGTAGCACATACACTCACAAAGTCGCAAGGGAACGCCACAAACGGAACATTGGGCCCGGCCCCCCAACGAAACCTTCAGCCATTTGTGGGAAAAGAGAACACGATAGAACCAATGTTTCAGAGTTTCAGGCCATTTGGCTGTGCTAGGAAAAGATTTGAGCATGTGAGGATGTCTTGAGGCCACAGTGGGAGACAGCAAACGCAATGATGCTAGTGCCTTGTCAGAAATGAAATTTGATGTTTTGATGAGTTTATATTCGCGTGAGGGTGCAGTCTTGGCATTGTGCCAAGCGTTGTTTTGGTGCTGACCAAACTTGAGGTGTATGATGTTGCCAATCCTGAGAGCTTCAGTCACCTAGAGGATTGGCACCTCGGATTGCGTAGAAGCAAACTCCCAGAAGAACGCAGAAGAACTCACGCACGGCCAGAGACAATCAAGATTCTTGCATTGTGCCAAGGTATGCTCAATTGAAGTACGCCCGAGGCGAGCCGGCCATTTCAGGTGTCCACACCTCAGAGGCTTCGAGATTCTGGCACACCAAGTTGACGTTTGCCCAGTGGAAGAGCATGGAAGAACTATCATTTTTACGGTTTTGAATCTCGAGGTCGTAATCGCGACGAAAACAGATTTGATGGATCGGCCTGGCTGCATTTCAGTGGAGAAGGCAGCGTCATTGCCCACGTGGGATTATAACAAGCACTGGCTGTGTTTGAGTCCCATTTGTCAGGCAGTGTTTTCGATTGTCGTGCTCGTTTGCCATTTCTGTCTCCCATTGAACTTCAAGCTGCAGCTGCCGGAGTTTGAAGCTTTGGGCAGTTTCCATCAATATCAAGGCTCCTGAAACTAAAGGAGTAGCTACAATACAGATCAATATATATATATATATATATGTGTGTATGATGCAGTTGCTTTAGATTCACCATAACTCAGGGGTAGGGGCATGAGCTGTGCTCCCCTACCTGTGCTGTGCCATTGCGATTTGCTGCCACGTTCCCGGACTCTGCCACATACGGCCTCATCGATTTGGACTTTTTGCTCCTTTGGCACCAATTCTATGACGAAAGTGCATCGCTACTAGTAACAATGGTATTACTACTAGTAACAAGAAGCTACTAGGTGGAGGCCATCGCTATTAGGTTGGTACTAGGAGCAAGGACGCTACTAGGAGCAAAGGGCATTTCTACTAGGGGCTCCTGGCCGTACTACTAGGGGCAAGGACGGTAGTTACTAGGGCGGACTTCTATAACGATGGCTGTGGACCTGTACGCTCAGCCCTCTGGCGTACCACGTCGGAACGGTTTGACACTATTACGCCCACCACTCCGCAAATCTCGCCTACAACTAGAAAGTTTCTTATTTATCTCTCTCTGTCAAGCTATCTGGTGCGCATCTGGGCCCTAGGTTGGGCCAAGTTGAGCCCATGTGGTCTATGTTGGGCACATCTTGGGCCCAAGTTGAGCCTATGTTGGGCCTAGGTTGGCCTACGTTAGGCCTATGTTGGCCTATGTTGGGCCTATGTTGGCCCCATGTTGGCCTTATGTTGAGGCATCTTGGAGGCTATGTTGGGCATATGTTGGGGATATGTTGGCCATCTTGGGCCTATGTTAGGGATATGTTAGGCAACTTATGTGCCCAACACCCACGAAATGTCGATTAAGCTTGTCCACGCGGCACGCATAACCGACACCACCGGCGCCCTGTTAGACGAAAGTCGCGTCCGCCGAAGGCCGCGAAACACTGTAAAAAACGATGTTTTCCACATCGCGCGCAAAAAACACTAGTAGATGACAAAAAATCTGTCGACCGGATTCGGGCGGGGGTCGACCAGGGGTCGGGCGCACGTCCACCAAAAGGGTCGGCGGCAGGGGCGGCGAGCGTATATCTCATTGCCGTAGGCAGTCTCTCCTCTCCGAAGGAGAGAGTGGAGTCCCGCCCCTGCCGCCGACCCCACAGGAATCGTGTGTTTTACAGTGTTTGCTGCTTCTTCCATTTTTCCGGGTTTGTGGCTCAAGATGGGTCAACATGGCTCAACATAGGCCCAAATAATGCTGGAAATGCGCGCCGCACCGGGGTGCTTCGTCTGCACCGTGGGCGGCTGCTGGGCTAACAACAACAGCAACAACAACAACAACAACAGCAGCAGCAGCAACAGCAACAGCAACAGCAACAACAACCACCACCACCACCACAACCAAAACAACAACAACAACAACAACAACGACGACGACGACGACAACGACAACGACAACCACAACCACAACCACAACAACAACAACAACAACAACAACGACAACGACAACCACAACCACAACCACAACCACAACCACAATCACAACCACGACAACAACGACAACAACCACAACAACCACAACAACCACAACCACAACCACAACCACAGGCACACCACCAACAACAACAACAACAACACCACCACCACCAACAACAACAACAACAACGCCCCCGTGCCCTTTTTCCCTGCCCCCTCCCCTTTGCTTGGGCCCTGGCCGGCTCTCGGGCGTAAGCCCTTAAATAACCTTCGGTTACCAACCGAAGGCCTCCGGCAAGGGAACGTGCGCGTGGCCGGCGCCCGGATTTAAAGGCTTACGCCTAACAGCCGGGCGCCGGCCCACTTGGGTCTGTGGGGCGTATGTCACGCCTATGTTGGCCTTGGTGGGGCCTATATGGAGCAAAGTTAAGCTAGCTGGTGCGCATCTTCGCCCGAGGTTGGGCCAAGTGGGGCCCATGTGGTGTATGTTGGGCACATCTTGCGCCCAGGTTCAGCCTATGTTGGGCCTATGTTAGGCCTATGTTGGCCTAGGTTGGGCCTATGTTGGCGTATGTTGGCCTATGTTGGCCCTATGTTGAGCCATCTTGGAGGCTATGTTGGGCATATGTTGGGGATATGTTGGCTATCTTGGGCCTAGGTTGGGGATATGTTAGGCAATTTATGTTGAAAAAATCTTCCGAGACAACTTTTTCCGATTTTTCCTTCCCGCAAAGCAAAAACACTGGAAAAACTCACGTTTTTTGACATCGCCAACATAAAATTCTCGGCTGCCGAGGGGCCCAAAACCCTGTAAAACAGTGTTTTTAATACCTCACACACACGATACACTGTAAATTACAGGGGCATCAGTGAACCGGTGGTCCGCCCGTTTTGGTGACGAGGGTCGGCGGCAGCCAGGGCCAGCGTCTATAACCTTCGGTTACCACCGAAGGCCCTCCGGGCAGGGCACAGGCTTCGTGGCCGGCGCCCGGATTTAAAGGCTTACGCCTAACAGCCGGGCGCCGGCCCACTTGCGTCTGTGTAGGGCTGGGTCGGGCGCACGTTAAGCTATCGGGGGCGTACTGG